CAACAATGCCATGCATGTGCTTTGCTCTTTGTTCTTGACTTCCCTTTGCTTGTGGAGTTAACTCTTGTTCACTAACATTCAAGGCCTCGAGTTTGCTTGAGAGCCTTCCTATCTTTTTACTTATTGCTTTGGGAACGGCTGATGCAAATAGTAGCGCTGTAATTATCGCCAACCCCAAGAGGCTCATTTTATCAAATGTTATAGCAATTCCATTTTGAGATCCGGACTCCTGGCATCTGGCTCCTCTCTTACCACATCCAGCTCAGAACACCTCAAAACTCTGAAAATAATGGTGTGAGCTTCAGTCTAGGACTTTTATATTTTGTTGTTAGCTGTTAAACTAGATTCAGTCACAATCTCAACATTTGAACTGTTGAATGAACCAATAATACAGATAGACTTCTACACCTACAATTATGATAGTGGAACATCATTTTTAATCCCACTTGTCTATAAGATTCAGTTTGCAAATGGAGAAAAAATCCTATCATGTGTCTCTCTGCCACTTCCAATGGGTCTAGATCAGAGGTGGAACAAAGTGGTGTCCTCCAGATGTTGTTGGACGACAACTCCCATCAGCTATAACCAACATAGCCACTGGTGAGGACTAATGGATCCAATGTTACCTAGCGGGCTGAACTTTGCCTCTACCACCTCTGTACAGCCATATCCTACAAAACTTCATGCAGGGTGGACCAGACCAAAACAGTTCCTGAAGTTATTAATGTTGGTGAGCAGTGATGTAGTGGTAAATTTAGAAGTCCAGATGGTCATCATGGCAGTCACCACGGTTACCTCCCACAAGGAGAATCCATATGCTGCACTGACCCATATAAAAAAAAATGAGGAACAAGTCTTGTTGACTGTTCATCCAAAACCAAACCACCCCTAAGTACTTCGTATTACAACAGAGATGGTTTGTCATATGCTGCACTGACCCATATAAAAAAAATGAGGAACAAGTCGTGTTGACTGTTCATCCAAGACCAAACCACCCCTAAGTACTTTGTATTACAACAGAGATGGTTTGCAACAATTTACTGTTCCTGAGGATGGGGAAAACTCTCCCAGCTACTGTGAGGATGATCGCAAAGCTCAGAGAGAATAGGGGAGTTCAAGTTGGGTGGCATATGACATCATATTCCCTTTTAGTGAGAAAGTCCCAAGGCTTTAATCCTGCATGCTCTGGCTCCACTATACCACTGAAGATGGAATTCCTTCTCCAAGCTCCTGTCAGAATGGATTCTCCTCAAGCAAGGTCATTTGGGCTCAATGTAGTGATGCAGATCCATGTGAAAGTCATTTAAGTTGGTAAGCATTCAGCATTGAAGCCAATCCCATTAGGAGTAAATGGAAATTGCCACAGTCTGGGCCTCTTCAGTACCCTTTTTCTTTCCCCATAGAGCTTTGATCCAAGATTCTGTTGTAGCAACAATGTGAAGTCTAGTCAAAACCACATTTCAAAATCCTCCAGGCATCTCTTATAATTCCCACCTGGAATGTATGGAAAGGAAGCAGATGGCTGCACTGGAGAAGGCTGACATGAGATTTAATCCATTGTGAGATGGATCCAAACTTCAAATAGATGTGTAATTAAATCAAAATATCCTTGGGATTCCGTTTTACTATTCACCCTGGACTGGCAGTGTGCAGCTGCATCAAGGGCTGCTAGCAAGGGAGCAACTGCATGTTTGTACAGTGTTATGCCATCCCGTTCCTCCTCCACCACCACCTGTCAACACCATCTCTAGGTTAATATTTTATTCTGACACAATTGTAACTGGCAGAACCAACAAGAGAACCATTTCATAACAATCCCTGCTGATTCACCTGCAGAACATTCCACTTTAGAGTAGATGTAAATCGGCAAAATCCTCATGTACTGTATACTGTTTCCTTGATCAGCAAATCCCATATGTGCACAGGGCTTCCTATCCATGCTTTGGTGCCACTGAGTCATGGTCTTTACTAAGAAATAAGGGTGATCAACATGCATCCTCCCGGCAAACAAAGCTCAAACTTCTTATTATATAGTAGAGTGTTATGAGCATACGTATAACATGGTGAATTTAACATGCTAAATGCAACTGAATTCCCTATGGCTGCGTAACAAAAGCCAAGGCCAAAATCCTATTAAAAATCTCGAGCGAGGGCAGTCACACTATGACTTTTCTTTACTGGCTTGTGACCAGGGCCATAGCTGTTTTGTGATTCAAAGCAGAGAAGAACAATAGCCAGCTGGCAGATCAAGCAGGTTTGCTTGCACAATTGCCCAGCTACACTGTGCCAATCCAATAGCATTCTAACCTGAATATATTTAATGACTGCAACACTTTTGTTCTCATACTGATACCATTTCATTACGTGAAATGTGTTTTTGTAAATGTTATCTCTGTCCATTTCATGTTGACATAATGGCCTGTTTTGAATGCCCGAATATTCACTGTATACATCCTTGACAGCTTAATGATTGCTCCAACAATATGTGAAATAGAAACAAACCTTACAGATACAGTCCCAGATAAAATATATTAGCTCAGAAGTAGGAATCAGCCAAGGTATCTAACCATTGATCCACACAGATATCCATTATCAAACCAAAAAGATATAGGCTAAACCTTAAAGCATCTAGAACCTGAAAATCATATACTGTAGAACACTGAGGACCTCACCTCAGTCTCTGTGTTCTTGACAATAATTCCTGCAAAGGGATAGCCTAGAACTTCAGAAATAAGTTGTATTGATATGTCCATGGCTAATTGGACAGTTGCACGTTGCAGACTTTGAAAGACATACACTTCTCCTTTTGATCCAGTTGTTCATTGGCATTTTGAAAGCATTTGCCTAGGAAAGGAGTGCTTCCAGGTAAAGATTAGAAGTCTGAACGTCATACAATGAAGAAAACAGTTGGATGTCTATGGAAACACCACAGAAGTGTTACACATGCTCATCGTGAGATCAGCAGGAAAGGGTTTGGTGACAGCAGGAAGTGTGATGTTCTCATGTCCCAAGTTTTCCAAGAGTTACTGAAGACCATCACACAGTGCAGAATTTATCTTCCTCTAACAAATAAGCCCTTGGTGTAGACTTTTGGTGTTTAATTTCCATCTACCCCAAAATATTAATCTTCCACCAGATCACTCTGGAGAGCAGAACAAACTGAATTATTTGGAACACAGAAGTGTATAAAATATAAGGTATGCAATAATGCACAGGTGGGTTGAGATATATATGCACAGAACTGATGCTCTGATTTATAGTCATGTGATCAACACAAGTCCTTCCCCATCTGAAGATAACTCCTTGATTTCTCGTTATAGCGTACGCTTGCACTCACACGTGCATACACACACACAAGTATATATATATTTGATTTGTTCTATACTTGATTAAACTAGGTTACCTCTGTGGATTACAAAGTGTCACAAATGAAGTTAACTATTAAGTTTTATTATTAACCAAACACTTTGCTCTATATGTATATACAATTAAGTGCCAGCCATTAAATCAAAGGAATTTTTCTATTAATTGATGAAGGGGAGACACTGAGCTATATTTCATACAGACTATATGTGAGAAAAAGATACAGTATGCATCTCCCCTGAAACACACATATTTTATAATATACAGTACTTGTATCGCAGAAGGAAGTAGGTGTTATGATCAAATGATCTCAGATCTTAGGTGGATAGCAGACACTCTTCTAAACTCGCCAAGGTCAATTAAATGAAATAGCACAGGGTCACCTTTAGCTCTGTACCTCTGCCATTAGGCCATCAATCTTCTAGAATCAAGGCATACCAATAGAGGGGTTTCCCCCACTTTCCAATTCCTTATTGGGAGAGCCTGCCTTCCAGTAGAATTGAATTCCCCTTTAATCTCCTCCTTGAGCTGCTGGATAGATGTAGTCTTTAAAAAAGCAGGATATCAGTGTAATTGTAAATTGATCTGTCTCTTTGGAAAACAGCCAAGAGTGTTCTTCAACCAGCAAAAAGAGCCAATCCCTGCAAGACTCTACAGCTTCACCCCTCCCACCCCTTTTAAATGCTAACAGCACAATACTGTGTATGTCTACTCAGAAGTAAGTCCCACTGAGTTCAGTGAGGTCTTCCTGCTAAGTAAGCCTCAATAACATTTGCTGTGAGTGAGACCTCTTCTGAAGTAATACCACTACCTTTGCTCCTATCATAACTAATGAGTTGCTGCCTCCTTCCAAAATGGTATAAGGTAACAGATCTGTTCATTCCTAAGGTTTGTACTAAAAATGACAATACTGTAGTGTCTTTGGAACAGGAAGAAGATCATAGGACAATGTTTCAAGAACTGTGCCAGTGCCACAAACCTACTACGAAAGGGTTGTAGATCAGTGCAGCAAATTCACATATAATAACGGTGATTTTTAGTGAGAATTGGAAATACCCAAGCCTGTCTCTACAGTCCTTGATATCACTCTCTCCTTAGTGCCACCGTCAAGCAAATCATCTGTCTGGGGCACTACTGAATCCATACAGCCTCTTTGCCATGGGCTCTTCAATTATGAGGTCTGAGTTTCTTGGATTATTTCTCCTAATCCATCATTAGCTTTCACGTGCCCTATATACCGTACAATACATCTGAATTTAGCAACACATTACCCCTCATGGATGGTGACTCGGAATGTGCTTCAGAATCGTGCAGAGAGAAACACACACAGAGTCTCAGCTTGTCTTTGTGCATTTTTAACATTCTTACAGCACTATCAGGCACAAGGATCATTACATTTTTTTTGCTCTCCCTCAATCACTTAGCAGACACTCCATTAGCATGGGGTATAGAGCGATTAGAAAATGACAGAGTGGTTAAATAATCACAGTACAGCCTGGAAAGCCATCTGTCATTAAATGTGCACAAAACTGGTATTCTACAACAAAATAATACAACTGACTTATATTACACAGCAGCATCAACAACCAACATCAAAACGGAAGGCAGTCCAGCAGGACCCCTCCTCTTTCACTTACCGGTCTTCCACAAATATATGGATGAAGTTTCAAATTCACTTTGGGTCTTAGCTCCCCAGATTCCAAACAGGAGAAGCACAAGAACTCCAGTGCACTTGCTTGAGAGCGTGGAAACCTTGGGACCACCATCGAATGAAGCTGCGCTCTTCTCTCCCAGCCCCATGCCTTCCAGAAGCTGGCTGTCCGTGTCAAAATCTGCAGCACAATGGACAAGGCTCGCGTGAGAAATGTCTCCTGTCCCCCTTCAGAATGTCTTCACAGGGAGGGCAGGATGGAAATGGCTTTTCAGCTATTGTGCATGCCAGTTGGGAAGGGGGGGAGAGAGAGAGACTGTTTAACACCAGGGAACAATAGAGCCCTTGCTTGCGGTGCTGCTGCTGCAGCCGTGGCTGCTGCTGCGGCTGCTGGTACTGTAGTTGTTACTTCACTCTCCCCCATTCATATAATATACAGAGTTTCTATCAGCTGAGCAAGAGAGAGGGAGAGAGAGAGAGAGAGAGCTGTCCACAGGGGGCTCCAGCTGACTGAGCAGGTTATCTTGGTCTGGGAAACAGCAGCAGTCATTTACACCAGCTGGAGAGAAAAAGAGAGTGTGTGTAGGGGAGGGAAGGGGAGGGGACCAGGAGAAGGAACGCAAATAACCAAATGCTGTAATCACATACATATCACCAACTGCAAAAGGCTGCTTTCTGCACATCTCTCGGGAAAACATGCACATAATCATGTCTCTCCATGAATTTTTAGTGGAAATGTATGATTGGTGAAGATAGATGGTTTGGGGTAATGGAGAGGCGTGCGGGTATTTATTCCTAGACACTTTTGAGGCAGGGCAGCCGTGAGCATTCAAGATCAATTATTTTCCTGTTTCTTTAAAGCAAGTTGCCAGTATCTAATTCCCACTTAGTTGGACTGACACTGATACAATACAAAAGGTGGTGCTGAAGACAAACATTATGTTAGACGAAGCAAGCATCAGAAAACTCACCAGATTTGCAGGCAATCAAAATGCTGATGCACAAGCTAAATAAAGAGTGAAGACTAATAGAGATACTTAGACATGCAACTAATTAAATCTCCCCTTCCTAAGTGAGAATGAAAGTTGTTATATGGTAAAAAGCACTGAAATTAGCCCATGTTTCGAATGTTGCTGCTTACCCATTTCTCACACATCTGGATGCAAAGAGAGAATGGATAAAATAAAGTGACTTGTTAAAAAAATAGATATGCCATCATTAATCTTGAAACTGCGTACCTAAGAAAGATAGCAGTTCTAAAATTTCCACCTGATAAGAATGTTTTTATGCAACCCTGCAGTCCCATCCAAATCACCACAAAACATAAACAATACAAGTAATTCTGAGGTGCAATTATTGCTGAGTCTGTTTGCAAATACCAGATGATGTGGTATTGAAGAACTTCTGGTCTCAGTGTATTAACAATCACACTACTCTGAAAAGAAAACAGAAAAAGGGCAACCAAAAAAGGGACAATATTTCTAGTTATTTTCAGACAAGAGTATTATTTAAAACCCTTATCCAAAAATTGGAACAAAAGACTGCTGTTTCTGCATATACAGAAATGAACAGAAATGTTTTGAGATCAGTTGTAAGACTTCTAAAATCATCATCATCATCATCCAGTTTTTTTTAAAGCATTGTAGCAGCAGAGCTACTGTTATTGAGGAGAAAACATCTCCATCAAAACTCTTGGGAAAGTATTACTATGCAGAATCTTCCCAGACTCAACCTCCTTCACTATCGCTGGCTTTAAAAGCAGCCTTGATCAAATAAGTCCCAGCTTCTCCTCTGCTTAAATATTCTGACATCAGAGAAAATTAGCAATGTGGAAGGTTGCAAATTTGTCTTTGTTTACTTTCCACTCTGTTATGCCTCTAAGAGGGAATTAAAGGCTCAGGAAGCCCCAGCGCTGTGAGGCTGTGATTAAGAGAGATAAGCAAGTGTGGATTACTGCTCCTCAGCTGTTGAAAAAGAGGCAACAATCAAGAGATTATAGGTTGATAAGGGATAGGGAGAAAGCCATGAGCCTAACAAAATGTATAGCCTCCTGACAGAACTCATTGCACCACCTATGGTCAAGCCCAAAGGAGATGCACTTCACATGGTTACATCAAGTCCAGGAACTCTTTGCAAATGTCTGTTCATGTGAAGACTCATATTTTCACTACCAGAATTAAGAAAAGCAGCGACATTCAAAAGGCTCATTTGATTTTCATGAAAACTTTTTAAAACTTTAATTAAAACTCATTGAAATTCAGAAACCAAACTTGATTGCCCACATTCTTTCACTGGTACTTGAATATCTAAGCACATGTATGTATCTGTGAAGCTGAGATTTACTGTGTCTGTATTATGCGCCTATGCAGTTTCGAATCTGAGGAAGCTTTTGAACTTAAGAGCAAAGAACTGGGTCTCAGCATGGAGTGCTGAAATAAAGAACAGTTGCCAGGGATCAAGGAATTACAAGGGATGGAGAGACAGAGTTTCAGTTAGTAAAGGCAAAATACAACTCCTGCAAATGACATCTTTCCGTGGCTATGACATAAAGGCTTCCCATTCCTCCTCCTTCAAAACATACCCTGCTATACAAAAAGCCATTCCCCTAACTTGGGCCCCGCTTTGGCGCAGCTTCTAATTGTACACAAAGAAACATCTATACCCAATAGGCTTTGAATTGCAGCCCTCTATCTGGAGCATTAAAATGGAATTCATTTACATGGTTGTATGGATGATCATTCTGACCCAACTCCGGGAGGCAGCGGAAGACAGGAGGGCCTGGTGTGCTCTGGTCCATGGGGTAACGAAGAGTTGGACACAATGACTAAACAACAACAAATGTATGATCATATCATAGCTAGGAAAGTTACATTTTAAACTACTCCATTAGAGTTCCAAGCTTGACTTCCAGCCTCCAAGTACAGTACTGAGTTACAGCTGAAGTTACTTTGATTTTAAAAATTGTATTATCCTGTTTCTTAAAAGCAATCCAAATAGTTCCTCTGACTGACTTGTTTGGAAAAAAAAAAAAAAACAGAATACTGGGCTGTGATACAAAACACACCCAAATAGCCTGAGACAATATGAAGAATCTATACACGGAGAATATAGTTTTTAAACGATTATGAACATAAGTAACAAGAGAATAGGGTATTGGGATGGTCAGCATCCCCACCACCAACAATTGCCATGAGCAGTACTCAGCACTTTTTTCCTTTTAAAAATTGGAGCACTTAAAATCTTGCTGTCAAAATACAGCCTGTTCAGTCTCAAAAGAACCAGTTCTTCAAAGCATTTATTTCTGAATAAAATGACAGATTGATTCTCTCCCCCTCTTTTTTCTTTTTCTGGTGCTCTGCATTTTACTGAAAAGTTAATAACTGGAAAAGGCACATCAACAAACATTCCTGGAAACAGCTTCTCTGCATATCTAGAATACTCAGGAGAAACACTAAAAAGCAACACAGTACAAAGATCAAAATTTTGCTTACACATAGTTATTCATAGGTAAAAAGATATGATCAGACCTGGCAACACATTCTGAAAAGCATCTAAAATCTACCCCTCTGCATGTAATATGAGCGATGATGATGAAAATGATGACAAAGATGGTGATATACCTGGAAACACAAATCCAGCCCTTTGCAGGCACCTCTTCTTGTTACATTTCCACGTTTGCAAGTGGAAAATCAATCAAATGGCTAAGATGACATAGAAAATGGAACAGGAGCAGAATCTATACAAAGGAAGCACACTTTCCAGTTTCAGAAATACTCCACACAGAAGGAGAGTAAATCTAGTAGCTAACATCATGAATGCATCCCACATGGTAAAAGTAATTGTATAGGTAACTTCAAAGACACTATTCATAACAAAAATGTATTGCTCAATAAATTGTAATTTTAACTATTACTGAGAAATGAATTAATGAAAAGTTATTTGGTATTTGTATCAGAGACTTATTACTTCCAGGCTATGTTTCAGATGGAAGAGGGGGGAAACATAATAAAAATTATTTTTGGGTAATAACACTTATAAAGGGCCTTTTTCAAAATATTATCTTTAACAGTCTTCAACTCTGACTAATACTGTATTTTAATATATATACATGCACCTAAGTTTGCAACAGCTGAGCAAGGCTATTAATAGCAGGGCATTTTGGAGATCACAGATTCATCAGGTTGCCATACTGTAAGGTGGACGCAATTTGATAGCACATAAAAACAAATGTGTACCTATACAGAACTTTAAAATATATCCATGTATAGGCATGTCCAATATGAAGACTAAAGAGGGCAACACAGACATACATGGTAACCAGGCAGATCTAGTACAGCTGACCTTAAAAATGTTTTCTTTTACACAATCCACAAAATGGCCATGATATTCATGGAAACCACAAGAGTAATGAAGCACTCGGCAACTGAATAAAGCCACCGGCTATGCGACTGTTAATGTCCAAATCATTCTTTCTCAACAAGTCAATTTTCATAATAGAATACTATCGCTCAAAATGTGTCACTTGAATGGAAAGGCTGTACAGATGTCATAAATCCTTACTGACTAATAAACATAAACCACACTGACAACAAAATACATGTGTGCATTATTCCTGAATCCAAACAGAGGTGCACATGGCTGGATCATATTTGTCCCTGGGAAATGCACCACCCCTTTCCTGGCGTTTTTCACCCTCTTTTGTAAAAGACTACAAATTTATTTGCAAGGTCAGGTGGACAAGTAGGTGGCTCTTCAGACAACCAGGCCAACTTTTCTTTGGCTAAATAAAGTCATACTTGGATGACTTTGGCCTGAATGGGCATGAAGAAGATGGACTTTCAAGCGCATATCCAAAAAAGTGTTGAAAGCAATGTAGTATTGACAGAGGACCTGTACTTTTGGTTAAAGAGATACCACGTTCCTGTCAAGGGGACACCCTTTGAGGAAGGCTACCTGAAAGTACTTTACAATTTTATTTGTTTTCATTCTGTATATTTATATCTAACTAGTTTTCAAGGTGATATACATGGGTTTCCTCATGTTTAGGTCAGGCTCAGAAAGAGAGTGGTGTTTGTTTGTCACTGCTTGGCCTGGCATAAAGCTGTGTTTCGATGGAGCCAGTTGGCCCAAATTGGGGTAGAATTGGCAGGGAATGGCAAATCAGTTCTGAATACTCTATATCTAGGAAACCGTGAAGCTAATGCACATTGAAAATTTTTCTACAGCATGATAGAAATGACAAAAGCCACAGATCATAAGAGATGAGTCCACAAACTGTCTTCTCTTCACATATTCTCTCCATCAGACATTATGCTAGAACGAATCTGTTAATGTTTCCCACATGGTGTCAATGTTTTGACATTTCCAGTGTGACATGGCAGGGATAGTTGTGGATTATGGCTCCTAAACTAGTGAATGGTAATATTTTAAAAGTGTTCTTGTATTCACAATGGTAGGAGTATTTACAACAGTAAATGGTAGCTTACACCGCATTTATCATAGCCATATGACTTTGCAATCTTCAGCTTTTTACGTCCTGATTACACCACTACCACTATTATTTATTTGATACAGGACTGAGACAGAGAGAAAACAACCTCTCAGTGATTCCGCTGCAGAGTAAACATTTGATCACAGCCCCAAATCCATAGTAATGTGCTGTGACAGAAATTGGGTCAATAACAACTCTTGACTGTTCATACTTTCTTTGGAATAAAACATGAAGTTTCATCCAATAGGTGTTCTGATTCTAATGATGGGACCTATCAGCCTTTAACACTCCCGTTTCCTTCTGTCATCTAGCGCAGCTATCCTTTGTACCATGCTTGCTTCCTCATCATTTCAAGTGTTTCACGCTTCTTTCCAAAATTATCCATCTTCTTTTTCTATATACTTTTGGTTAGAACAACTGCTCTTTACATCCCACATTGTATGAATATACTTTGAAGTGTAATCTCCCTGCTTTCTATGATAGCACCACATATGGGAAAGTGGGTTTCCAATTCATAGGGCTTGTGGAGAAATATTTTGGAAGTCCCAAAGGCTGTAAGGACTCCGAGGGAGGAGATTGAAACTTTCCCCCACATTCTTCATACGACAGAGCAAAATGGAGGCCACCTTATGTGTCTTCAAATTAAATACAAAATGACAGGAAGTTACTTTATACCATCGCGTACCACTAATCTGCTTCAAAACTGACAGTTAATAGGTTTTTCACATTTTAGGTGAAATTCTATCCTGAGCTCCACCTGAACGTGCCAGAGATTGAACCTCAAAACTTTCTGCATGTAAAATACATCCTCTATTACTAAGTTAGCCCATATCCTGTACTTGCTGTTGAAAATAGGGGCTCAATTTGGTTTGAATACAGTACTGAGAATATTAACATAAAGTTGCATGTCTACACCTAAATCCATTGTGTTTGTAACAAGTTTGCTTACATGTTATACCTTTGGAAGAACACATGTATTCTCACATTATCTGAAGGAGCTCTGCTTATAAAGCTATAAAACTAAAACATCCATATGGTAATAAAAACTTACATTTCTATAAATACTGGATGCCTTCACTGAACTCAAGAATGGATCATGTTGAATGAACTGCCAGACTATGCTGATATTCAAACTGAAAACTAGAAATATGCACTCCTCAAAATCAGGAATTAGGGGTTAGGGTCAAAAACAAAATATTTCAAGAGGTTTCACACATGCCTGGTTTTTACAGTGCATCCAGCTGCAGAAAACCACTTACACTTTCAGTCCTTCTTCAGTCATATAAGATCACGTGAACATACACCCATTGTTGCTTCCAGTTTGACTGATGAGTCAATTGTCTTTCTTTAGACGAGGATAACAAAAGAAACTTATTACACATGCAAATTAGGAAGACTCCAAAGAGATACTGGACAAAATTCCTTCTGCTTAAATGAAAGCATGGTCCATTTTCCCTCATACAAGGCAGTGATGACAGATGTAACCTTATGCTGACCAGCCTTAGCATCCCATTGTGACATCACAGTGTTCCTTTTTTTTTTTACCTCACTAAACTGTAAAGTAGCAGCTCATCTTCATACTTTGCTTTATTTCAAACCCCTATTGTCACTGAATGGCCATCTCAATTTTGCAGGGCTTTAAACTTCTTTCATGCAAGTAAGGTATTTTAGACTGGTGTTGCCTGATATACTTGCTAAATCTTGTTACTTAGCATAATATGTTGGAACTGGAATTGAACCATTGAATCAATCAAACTTATGGAAGAACTGGCTTACCAAATCCCCACCGATTTAATGGGCCTACTCAAGTTGCAACTTATTACACTAAGCAACAGGATTTCAGTCTCTGTGTGCTTATATATTTATTTGTCCTATGTTGCGTCATGAGTGAAGACAGCCATGGAGCTTCCAAACTGAAATGGAAATTAAAGAATTAAAGTATTAAAACGACAGTGATGGTTACAGGCAACCAAGCAGGATTGCTACAACAGAGAGAGGAAACTGTACAAGGTATTCAACCACTTTTTGGGTTGTGCTTGGGAAAAAATCATGCCTTTTGACAATTTTCAGTGGAATTATTCACCTCTTCATTTATGTTGCCCATAAAATTCTCAGCTGCTTTGATATGCCTCCAGTAGCACATGGTCATATACAGATGAATCAGGCTGATTACACAATCTTGTCCCATCTTTGATTTTGTCTATCTTTTGTCTATCAGTGGTTCCCACCCTTGAGTCTCCAGATGTTCTTGGACTACAGCTCCCAGGAATCTTGGCCAGCACAGCTAGCCTGGAATACCAATGCACTTTAAACCTAAAAGTAACTTAGTTTTTAAACCAAAGTTAGTATATTAAGGCTTAAGCATATTAAATTATCCAGTTAAGTACTCTCTAACAAACTAATAAATATTAACCAAATGGCCTCTAGGTGTCATACTTGACCACATTTAGGTCACCGTTTATCATTCAGTGGCTACTCTCATTATTTTGTATTAAGTGAAGGTTATTGTTTGAGGATATGAAACACTTGGATTTAATTTCCTATCACTTGTTTGCTAGAGCAGATAATTTCATCCTGCACAGTTACAGTATTCATGGAGACGTACTGTGCACATTAATAAATTAAAAGCAAGTGGTGGATCCCCCCCAAACACACTCTTGGGCTTCCCTTGAGCAGACATCTAACTAAACCAAAGATCATTAAACATTCAGAAGGAAATTTAACTATTCATATGTATTCCACACAAACAGGACACCCTGGCTGTCCCCTAAGGTCACACTTCTGGAAAACTGCAAATTCCAAAAAGTAAATCATTTAAGAGTTCATGCTGTAGTTTTCTTCATCACTTGCTTCTGATGAGATTTCAGACTGATTCCTCAGTGTTGTTCAGGTGTGAATAGTATTTAATATAACACTGGGTCACAGAATAGAGAATCTATGCTGAAGTCTGGATAGATAAAAATCAATGATTTTTTTTTAAAAAAAGTAAAATTGCTTTAAATCATGATTTAAACCACAACTTCAATGGAACAATAGATTTTTTTAAATTAAAATTTTCAAAAAAATCCAGTTTCTAAACTTTAAATCAATTTGATTTAAATCAAATTCCCCCCGGGCTGAAGCGAAGTACATAAGGGTAGAGGCACCTAGATATGTGATGTTTGCTGCTGCTAGTGAATATACATGAGCTACCAACATGTAGACTTTCCCATCACAGCTTCCCACACTAAGTTAGTGTTTGTTGACTCACTACCCCCAATTCTCATTCATTCCTGCCTTCTTTCCACTCTCCTTGGCATGCATGGTGAATTTTTGGTCCTGAGCTCTTTTGACACAAACTTCCATCAGGACCACCCAACATGATCCATGCTAAGGGGCTTGTGGGGGTTCTACATTAAAATATATGGAGGACTAAATGTTCCCCATTCCAGCTTTCTTCCCAACTCATCTTCTGCACAAAGCCCTCTAAACATATATCCTCTGTCTTCCTTCACCTCTTGCCTCATGGCACAGTGGTTAAACTGCTATACTGCAGCCAAAACTGTGCTCACGACCTGGGGTTCAATCCCAGGTACGTAGATGACTCAGTGTTGACTCAGCCTTCTGTCCTTCCAAGGAGTATCTATGCTTTGTTATCTCTGGGTTTTGGTAAAAGTAAGGTGCTCTGCCACCGAAGTGACCCTGTACTCCAACTTCTTCCAGCACCAGCCAGCAAAATAATGATATACACCAACAACATGTGGAGGTCCACAGGTTCTGTGACTCTGGTTTAGAGAAGTCACCTGAACCATTTTCCTCAATTCTAAGCCAATCCTACTTAGGAAAAGTTAAACTCCTTTTCGTTCACATCTGTTCCATCAATACTTTTTAAAGCTCTTTCTACAAAATATTTTCTCTTTGTCTCACATAAAGGAATATTTTTCCTTCATGTATCCTTTTTCTCTAAGAAAGACTAAAAGAACTTTTGCAAAGACTTATTACCTGGCTACAGGATTTTTTTTACCAAAACTGTTCTTATGGTATCATGAATATTTTTGAAGGGCTAGAGTAGAGAAGAAGAATGTTGTAATTCATATCATCCTAGCAGAAATCAAATGAGCCTTGAAAGACACTTTCATTAGAACCTCACAGTGCTCTAATCTTACCACCATTTCATTACAGTACTAATTTTAAAACAGTACTACTTTGCTTCTGTTACTACAAATAGTAAGTGGAATAAAATTGATAGTAGCAGTTATGACAATACAGGGAACCCATCCCATAAGAGACATATCCAAATCTCAGCATGTCTCCATTCCTTTTCTATATTTTTCTGGAGATCATAAATTTATTCTCTGCAGTGCTGTTCTGTGCATTAGCAGGGTAGCTTCTCCATTGCAGAGAGATGATATGAGCAAAAGGGTGATGAATGTTCACTGTGATCACCGCACTACGCATGTAATGTTTAGGTCTGCTGAGTAGGAGCAGTAGCAGCAAAATGTGCTGGGTTTTTTTTAGACAAAACAAGTTATCCCCATTTTAATTAACTTTTTGTATATTGTTTTCCCTAATGAGCATGACCATGTACTATCTGATCATGATTTTCCCCTGTACAGATTAAAAAAAGAAAACATGGTATGTCAGTGAACGCATATCTTATCTACTCTACTAAGAAAATTCAAATATATCTTTTATAGAATGGCCCTTTATATAGATCTTTACTTTCTCATTGCTTAGGACTAGCTCAACAGCCAATTAACTAAATTAAAATTAACAATTAGTCTGTCCACTAAATTGCCAAGACCTTCCTTTTTCCTTCTCTGCTCTCATGTCTCAAGATGTCCCTTCCATGACCTTTACATCTCCAGCCATATAACCCTTAACTGTTCTAAAGCTACCACCCCTTTGTCCATGCTGCCCTTTACAACTACAAGTACTTCTCAGAACACACTTGTGAAACTGCCTAACTGTTTCTTCACATCCCTTTTCAAAATCCATTTTCCTCACAAGATACAACTTTGTATTTCTTGTAACAACAACTGTGTGTCATCAAATCAATTTTGACTTATAGCAATCCTTTCCAGTTAGGTCTGCTGAGTAGGAGCAGTAGCAGCGAAATGTGCTGGTCACAAACCTATCACCATGATCTAGCTAAGAAAATGGATGGGAAAGGAAAGGGACATAAATATGAATGGGTACACCTGCAACTAGTCATCAGCATTGATATATGAATGTAAAGTATAAAATAATAGAGAAAACTTCATATTTATGTCCAAGCACACGTATCTATAAAAGTTAATGCTAACTTCATTCTGCAATGTAGATAGGAAGGGCCATCTTTGCCTCCTGCACTTTTCAAAACTTTTTCTGATACATAATAGAACATCAATTGCAATCGAGGTATTGTTTTCCTGGACAGCCATTCCTGACTTGACTTGAACTTGAACCACTGTATCAAATATGAAGACATTTTCTGTACTACACTCAATATTCTCTTTTTTCCCCCATTTTCAAAAGGCTTTCTTTCAAATTGAATCATTGTATAATTTACCAGTTGATCTAATCGCCTTGATTTTGAGGTCTTAGGAAATTTAAGCTAATCTCTGGTAGAGGATTGGACACAGACTAGCCAGCTGTGGTGCAACACGATTTTATTAAGGAAACAAAGATTGCCAAAACAGACAGCTGGGGCTCCTCTCAGAAAGCGTGTGATATCCCCGAAAATACATAGGTCAGGTACATATATACTGTTTACAAATAAGGAGTCATAGACCCCAAAACCATGATTGGGTCTGATCTGCAACATGTTTTGGATCCTTGCCCTGACTGGTATTCAGGCTATGATCTAGTGACCTACTGGTTCTTGACAGGGAAGGGGGAATGATGGAGGTTGTTGTCCTTCTACTTTCCAGACATCCTCACTATCTGATCCAGCGTGGGTGCCCCCTGGCACGTGAGCCAGATTTTGCTTGAACCCGAATTTCTCCTGGCTCACAAGTAGACTGGCATACATCTGTTTGTTGGCAGGCTCTTGGAAGACTGAGGAGGCAGATTTCTTAGGCTTCTAGGCTATAGAAGAGACAGTGAAGGAAGAATAGTTCAGAAGGTAGGGCCACTTAACTTCCCAGCTAATTCATACTTGGAGGCATCCTTCCAATACTGCATCTCCTGAAGGACCCCATGGATCTCTGTTAGGATTTATGCTCTGCTGCTGCTACAGAGGTCATCCAACCAGGATGTACAGTAGAGGTGTCTTTTTTCTGCAGGCACAGAACAGATCTACGGACAGTGTTTACTTCTCTTCTCATGGACAACTCACTTCCACAACAGGAGCCCCAAGGTACCTGCTGATACCTTTGGCCACCCAACTCCTTCCTAGCTGGAGACCATCTGCTATGAATTTTCTCTGGCAAAACCTCTCTTTCCATCTAATTCCTCCCTTTCAAGGTTTGCTTTGCAAGTAACTTCCTTCTTGGTCCCCTCTTCCTCTCCCATAAATATGAG